AGTCCGCAGGCCGACGCTCTATCCACTGAGCCAAACCGGTTTCGGCGTCATTGATGTTTCTAACTCTCTATCCCTCTCCCTTCTTCTCTGTAAAAAAAATCAATAAAATATATTTTAAAAAATGTGAATATATGTCATACTATTGAAAGGTACAGTTAATTAATTAATTTGTTGTTGTTGTTGTTGTTAATCCTCACCCGAGGATATTTTCCCATTGATTTTTAGAGAGAGTGGGAGGGGGACAGACAGAGAGAGAGAAACATCGATGTGAGAGAGAAACATCAACTGGTTGCCTCCTGCCGGCACACTGACAAGGGTCCAGATCGAGTCTGCAACTGAGGTACGTGCCCTTGACCGGAATCGAACCCGGGACCCTTCAGTCTGCGGGCTGATGCTCTATCCACTGAACCATACTGGCTAGGGCAGAATGATACCCTTAAAATGGTTAAAATGATAAAATGTATAAATTGTGAAATACGTGTGTATATATGTATATGCGTGTATGTAAAGTAAGTATATAACCTGGCCGCCACCACCACCCAGAAAGCCTTTTCCCCGTGGCCCAAGCTATGCTCTTTGCACTGGTAGTCATACTGGGGGAGAAGGTCAGAGTAGGGAGAGGCCGAATCTCTCCTTGGCTTCCATAACCATCTGGACATTTTACCACCATTTGATGTTACTCTAGATCAGCCGTGGGCAAACTACGGCCCGCGGGTCGGATCCGGCCCATTTGAAATGAATAAAACTAAAAAAAAAAAAAAGACCGTACCCTTTTATGTAATGATGTTTACTTTGAATTTATATTAGTTCACACAAACACTCCATCCATGCTTTTGTTCCGGCCCTCCGGTCCAGTTTAAGAACCCATTGTGGCCCTCGAGTCAAAAAGTTTGCCCACCCCTGCTCTAGATGTTCTCCAAGTAGTGGGTCTGAGTCCGCTGACTTTTTTTTATTTTTTTATTTAACAGTAAGCATTACCGAGAGAAGAAAACATTTGATGGCTAACCTCATTGACATTGACATTTAATGGGTTTTATTTCCTGCCCCTGCCCATACATTTGTGGTGGGTCTTGACCTACATTTCATTTCTTAGTCACATACCTATGACCATGGCTCTCAGCAGTCCGCTGCAGCAGCCTGTGGCAGGGTCTTTTGTTTTCTTGCTCTACCTGCCAGCATTGGGGTTACTTTATTCAAAGGAGCAGTTCCCCGCAATTTACCTGTAAGTGGAATTCGGAGCAAAATAAATCATATTTTAAAGATCATCTGAAGGAATCGTGGGGAAAAGGTGTTGTTGGATATTGAATAAATTGTCCTCTGTTGCAGGGCTTCTCAATCTTTCTAGACCTCAGCCACAGGAAGAAATGCATTTTACCTTACCCTCCTCCCCCACCCCTCTATACACAGGCAGGTCTGCAACTGACCCAAACATTTCACAGAACAATCCTAAGCCTGATTACATGAGATACATTCTGGAATTTTTTTTGCGAACCTTTTCTGTAAAAATGCTGGTTGCAACCCACTAAAACTGATTTCAGGACTCAGGACTAGGTCTCAGCCCACGGTTTGAAAACACTATACCAATTTAAATATTTTATAAACAGGATGTCTCTGTTTTGCATATTGTACCTACACGGCTTAACTGCCAAATGTTACCTTCTCCACAGTGGAGAAAATCTAATCCTATGGTCTGAGAACCAGTGACCCTCCCAGACTCTGCAGGGGGAAAACTACGGAAAATTCACCCCCGGCTTTGTCTCTTGTGCCAGCATCAGGGCCTGGTAAACCCTGTTTCCTCAGACCTAGAAATTAACCTCTGTTCTGTGGTTGAGCATGTGAGGGAAAGAAACAAATGCTTTTTCAGCTCTTTCTTCCGTACAAATGCAAAGGTATTTTCGTTTTTTAATCTTCTCTTTGGAACACCTCCTTTCTCTTAGAGCAGCAGTTCTCAACCTGTGGGTCGCGACCCCTTTGGCGGTCGAACGACCCTTTCACAGGGGTCGCCTAAGACCATCCTGCATATCAGATATTTACATTACGATTCATAACAGTAGCAACATTACAGTGATGAAGTAGCAACGAAAATAATTTTATGGTTGGGTCACAACATGAGGAACTGTATTTAAAGGGCCAGAAGGTTGAGAACCACTGTCTTAGAGGCTCCTCGAGAACAGTAATTCGAATCCACAAGACAATGCAAAGACTCAAGACCCAGCTCTGTATCCTTTACATTGTGTTCTCGCCACTGGAGCCCCCACCCCAGCCAAAGAAGGGACAGCAGGAAAAATGGGGGGGGAGGGGGGAGGGGGGAGGAGCTGCATAAGAGAAAGTGAGTAGAAAGAAGAAACAGGGTGGTTTATAGGTATTGGCTCAGTTAACTGGCTTTGCAAGATGACGAATGTTCAGACTCTGGGCGGCCAGTGCTGGCCAGCGCCTCACCTGTGCTCTGTGCCCAACGGCAGCTGCGGGCTCAGGGGCAGTGGGAGGGCTTCCACTTCCTTTCACTTTCTCAGGCCGCCAAACCTGGCACCTGGGGACAGAACTACAGTTCCCACCGCGCAGCGAGGCAGCAGGAAGACGGGGCCCTACGGGCTGAAAAGGAAAACAAGGAGAAAAAGAAAACCTTTCCCGCGAGCAGAAGTGAGAGCGCGCGACAGGTAGGCGACCGGTGACCCGGGAGGGTGGAGGCTACCGGATGCAGGATGGAGGGCGTCCCAGGCGGACACTGCGTTCTCCTGCAGGGCGTGCAGGCTGAGTTCAAGGGGCTTTCGTGGAAATTCTGAGGACTTCCTGGGGTGGGGTGAGGCACAGGAGGAAGACTGCAGCTCAAGTTATGGTGATGAGACACGGAAGTGGAGTGGCTTTCTTTATTTGAAAGGTCAGAGGGGAGACAAAGGGCTGCAGGTGTCCACCGTCTGCGGGATCATTGAGCCACAGGTGTTTTGGAGGCGAGAGAAGCATGGGGCTTCTATAGGCTGGATATCTGTGTGCATTTTAATTTGTGTCACGATACAGATTTGTCCTTTTCCATGACTTTAAAGAAAACCAAAAAGTACAACTGGGGGGAAGTGAAGAAGGGTATCGTATGGCAGGAGCAACTTGCAGTGCAGCACATCAACTTTAATCATCCAATGGGGGTAGGTTTCGTGGATTTTTATGAGGAGACCCAAGACGATAGTCTTTGAGGAACCTTTGAGGGCCTGAGGATATTTGCCTGGAGGGGATATGCTTGGCGCTCCAAATATCTGATGGGCTGGCATGTGGAATCGGAATCTGCCCAGTCCTGGCATAGCACGAGGGTCAACAGATGGAACCCTGGGAGATAGATTTCAACCCCAGGTAAGTTAGAGCTGTGCACACAGAATGGATTTTTGCAGGGGGTAGTGAGTTCCTCATGCTCAGTGATGTTGAAGTGTAGGTGAATCGTTGGGCAGACAGGCTGAAGGTGAGAATAAAATTCAGGCGAGTGATTGTGCGGATCAGTGTTTTCCAAACCTGGCTGGGCAGGCATCAGAATCACCTGGCGAGTGCGTGCACGTATGTGTACACGGGTTTTTAAATATCTTTAGCAGATCTGGGATGGGCTTGAGGAATATGTATTTTTAATTATCTCCCCAAATAATTTTGATAGAATTAGTTAGTGTGGGAAACACTGTCATTTAGAAACTTTATTTTCCAGCTTATGGCGAAGTATGCCATAAACATCCCCACTACAGTTTTCTTTTTGGATTTTCTCAAAATCCTAATTTCCTCGTCAAGAAAAAGTAGGTGCGAGCCGGAAGAAAAAGACCATGTCACTCTTCCCTAAACTGACTTCTCTGTCCGACCTTGTCAGTCCTTTGTTGCTGGTTGCCTGGACATTTGGAGTCCTTCTCCCCACGTGAAAAGCCAGGCATGTCTATCAACTGAAGAATGGCAGGAAAAACACTCCTGTGGGCATCTCCTCTGCCATCCTCCTGCTGAGTGGGCACTCCATGGGGCACGGAGCCCCTGGTCTCAATGACCAGGATTTCCACCAATGCTGTCATCTGACTGTGATGACTGGGTAGCCCAGCAGAGAATGGCAGTAGGACCTCTTCATCCTGAGGGTACCCCTAAAGTAATGTCCACCCACCTAAGGCAGGTGTGAGCTTAGGGGGGCAGCTCTCTTGTACCTGACCAGTAATTAGTGTCCTTCAACCAATATTTTTATTGATTTCAGAGAGGAAGGGAGAGGGGAGAGAGAAACATCAATAATGAGAGAGAATCATTGATTGGCTGCCTCCTGCACGCCCCCTACTGGGGATCGAGCCCGCAGTCCCAGCATGTGCCCTTGACCGGAATTGAACCCGGGACCCTTCAGTCCACAGGCCAACGCTCTATCCGCTGAGCCAAACCAGCCAGGGCCCAAGAGGATGTTAGTGCAATGAAAGCAACGATCTCCCCTGGACCCCAAGTGCCTTGAACAGCGCCTGCGCCTGGTCATGGTCACTAAAGAGACGCTGAACCCCTCCTTTTCTTCCCAGCTCCACTCCAGGGAGGCAGCGCCATGCAGTTCTCCAGCTCAGCCAGGGCAGCAGATGAGAACTTCGACTATTTGTTCAAGATCATCCTCATCGGGGACTCCAACGTGGGGAAGACGTGTGTGGTGCAGCATTTCAAATCCGGGGTCTACACGGAGACACAGCAGAACACGATCGGCGTGGACTTCACTGTGCGCTCCCTGGAGATCGACGGCAAGAAAGTGAAGGTCAGAGGGGCCCGGGGTTCGCTCCCCCTAGTTTAGCCAGAGTTCCTAACCCCGAAACACATGCCTGAGGAATAAAAGATTTGAATGTAAAACATGAAATCATAAAAGTACCAGGAAAAAACATAGGTGTATTCATTTTTATCACTGTGGAATGAGGAAATTGGGCTTTGCAGTAAGACGAGAAACCCAGGATGTCTGTAATAGTGTCAACAATAAAAATAAAAAATAAATAATGTGAAAAAGACAAGAAGCCCAGAAGCCATAAGGGAAAATACTGCTCAATCTAACTATCTCAAGGTCAAATGTATATATTTCTATGTAACTATATAAAGGTAACATTTCTACATATTCAAAAACACTCTGAACCAAGTCAAAAGATGAATGACACTTGGAAAGAAATATTTGCATATATGGGACTTGACAAATGGCTAATTGCTTTAACGTGAAAAGAGCCCTGATAAATAGCTAAGAAAAAAAGCTAAACAGCCAAGCACACACAAAAAAGTAGGCTATTCACAGATTAAACAAAACTGCTGTTTCACAAATTTTATAAGAGTGAGCTCATACATTTATGTAAAGGTGCCCATCCTCATTCATAATTAAATAAACAATAAGCTAACGGTAAGATACTGTCTTTTACCCATTTGATTAGAAAAGATCGAAAAGTGTGGGTAAAAATGTAATAAATGGATCTTGTTTGGGATCCTGATTTTGTAAAAATACATTTTGGAGACAATTAGGAAAATTTCCATATAGACTGGGCATTAAATAATATCAAGGAGTTATCAAAAAGTTTATTAGTGATAATGGTATTGTGGTTATGAAAGAAAATGTCCGTTTTTATAGGGATGTACATCAATGTAAGTAGGGATGAAATGACATGAAGTCTGGGATTTGCTTTAAAATAATACCTCACTGCCCTAACCGTTTTGGCTCAGTAGATAGAGCGTCGGCCTGCGGACTGAAGGGTCCCAGGTTCGATTCTGGTCATATAAAAAATAAGTAAATAAAATAAAATAATACCTCACTGACCTAAAGTAAATCCCAGGAGGAGTTCTTCCTGGGCTTTGAATTTGCAGTAACAGGTTTGAACATTCTAGAGGCAGTTGGATGATCATGTATGATACTGCAGACAAGAAAAATAAATAAAATAATACTTCAAAGAGCCCTGGCCGGGAGCTCAGTGGTTAGAGGGTTCAATTCCGGGTCAAGGGCATGTACCTCAGTTGCAGACTCAATCCCTAGCCCTGGTTGGGGCACATATGGAAGTGCAGGAGGCAACCAGTCAATGTATCTCTCTCACATAGATGTTTCTCTCTCTCTCTCTCTCTCTCTCTCATTCCCCCCCCTTCCCTCCCTCCTCTTCACTCTTCTAAAAAATCAATGAAAAAAATATCCTCAGGTGAGGATTTAAAAACATTAAAGAATAAAAACAAAGAAATCAACAGAACAGGCTTGATGTAGCAAAAGTGGCAAAATCTTGATAATTATTGAATAACTAGAGGCCTGGTGAACAAAATTCATGCATGGGTAGGGTCCCTAGGCCTGGCCTGCAATCAGGGCTGATCAGGGCCTTCCAGCTGCCGGCCAGGGCCTTTCTTTGTTCCATGCCACCCCCTGGTGGTCAGCGCACATTATAGTGAGCAAGTGATGGGTCTCCTGTCGAACTCCCCTGGGGTCAATTTGCATATTAGGGTTTTATATATAAATTATTGAATCTGGAATGATAGGTATATGAGGGTTCATTGCTCTATTCTCTCTAGTCTTGTATATGTTTGCAAACTTTATTTAAAAAATAAATTTTGTGCCTGGCCGGCATGGCTCAATGGTTAAGTGTCAACCTATGAACCAGGAGGTCACGGTTTGATTCTGGTCAGGGGACACGCCCGGGTTGCAGGCTCAATCCCTAGTAGGGGATGTGCAGGAGGCAGCCAATCAATGATTCTCATCATTGATGTTTCTATCTCTCTTCCTTCCTCTCTGAAATCAATAAAAATATATTTTTAAATAAATAAATAAATTTTGTAAATAATGTAAGTATATGAAGAAACAGGTACCCAAGACACTGTTAAGTGTATAAATTGGTGCTATTGCTCGAGATGGTCGTTTAGGAGGTGATATTATGAGGATACTCCTGAACATAAACAGTGGAGTGGTCCTTTAAAATCAAAACAGTTCAGCCAACATTACTTCCTTTTCCAGTGTTAATAGCACTGGGCAGGGTCAAGAGATAAGGCCCAAAATCTGGAGGAAGGGATGATTGCGATGCAAAGGGGAAAGAACACCAGACCCTAGGACACTGGGTCCCACTCTCCGACTAAGCATCCCGGAGGTGGTGGCTCCCAAGCCTGGGAGCCCATCCAAATTACCCTGGGGCGCAACTGGAACAACAGACTCCTGCACCCCAGCCCAGACCTCCTGAATTTGGATATCTCCAAGTAAAACCCAGGAAACTGCATTTTGCAGGCAACTCAGGGAGCAAGTCCCCATCGGGTGTGGGAGCTCCTGATGCCATCCCCTTTCCCGCCCGTCTCCAGATGCAGGTGTGGGACACTGCAGGCCAGGAGCGCTTTCGGACCATCACCCAGAGCTACTACCGCAGCGCCCACGCGGCCATCATCGCCTACGACCTGACCCGGCGGTCCACCTTTGAGTCCGTTCCTCACTGGATTCACGAGATAGAAAAATACGGAGCTGCGAACCTGGTCATTATGCTGATCGGTATGGAGTTTTCAAAGGGTTTAACTTTGTTTTATTGGCCCCCCTCTGCTGACACTCAGCTGTTTGTGTGTTTCCGGTGGCAGGGAAGCATGAAATCATAAAGTGCAAATGGTAAGAGGGCCTCAGAAAGCACCTGGCCCAGAAATTCCATCAGATTCACTTGGAAATGAGAGACGGTGGTGTGAACTTGTTAAGAATACAGATCCCAGCCCTGACCGGTTTTGCTCAGTGGATAGAGCGTCAGCCTGTGGACTCAAGGGTCCCAGGTTCGATTCCGGTCAAGGGCATGTACCTTGGTTGCAGGCACATACCCAGTAGGGAGTGTGCAGGAGGCAGCTGATTGATGTTTCTCTCTCATCGATGTTTCTAACTCTCTATCCTTCTCCCTTCCTCTCTGTAAAAAAAATCAATAAAATATATTTAAAAAAAAAAAAAAAGAATACAGATCCCAAGACCCCACCCTGGAGTTTCTCATTCTGAGACTTGGGACAGGGCCCAGACCTCTACGTGCAGGAGCCCCAGCTGGTTTGCTGCACAGTCTGTGCAGACCACACAGAAAGTACTCTGTAGGCTGAGGTTCCCAGGCAGCGGCCCCAAAGCCCTGAGGGAGCCATTCAGATGAATGTAACTGACACACCCGACACACACTTGAATGACTTCTTTATTTTTTTAAAAAATGTTTTTATTGATTTTTAGAGAGAGAGAAAGGGAGAGGGATAGAGAGATAGAAACATCGATGAAAGAGAAACATCTTTGATCAGGGCTGCCTCCTGCAAGTCCCCCACTGGGGATTGAGCCCACAACTCAGGCATGTGCCCTCGGCCGGAATCGAACCTGGGACCCTTCAGTCCGCAGGCTGACGCTCTATCCACTGAGCCAAGCCGGCCAGGGCTGAATGACTTCTTTTAAAAAAAAAAAAGTTTTTGATTTTTGAGAGAGAAAGGAAGAGAGAAACATTGATGGGCTGCCTCCTGCACGCCCCCTACTGGGGGTCGAGCCTGTAACCTGGGCATGTACCTTGACTAGGAATCAAAATGGTGACCTCTTAGCACACTGGATGATGCCCAACCAACTGAGTCACACCAGGGCTTGAATGACTTCTTATACCTGTTAAGACCCTAAGTGAATCTTAACACACCAACATCAAAACTAACAGGAACTTCAGCTACACAAAGTGAACTTGCAGCTGGAAATATGAGCCAGTCCTATTGTACATTCAGAGAGAAGTGTTAATGTTTCTGTTATTTCTCTAGTAGTGTTTTCGTTTTGCAGCCTTTTGGTGCACAAAATGATGCCCAACCAACTGAGCCACACTGCCCCAGTTCTTAATTGATTCTAGAAATGCCCCTAAAGATGACCTGGACATGTCCCCATCACCCCAGGGCTAATACAAGGGGGCTTTCTGTTTTCTGTCATTGGCCTCCGTGCCTTAATCTAGAAAAGTCAAATGTCTTGTTCCCTTATGGAAGTGTTCCCGTCTCTTTCACTATTTTTCCATTCTGTCTACCCCAGCCCCTGGCAGCCACTTCCCACCACACAAATGGCAAAGAGATGACTGTGCGTTGATTCCTACTGTTCCTCCCCCTCCAGCCACTCACAGGAAGCTCAGCTCCTCGGTGATGTGATGTCCCTCTGTTTAAAATCCTCGCTGGTCCCCCATGGTCCCCCAGATAACACACAAATTCCTGAACCCGACTGACAAGGCTCCTGCTTTCTTCCGGAGATGGCTGACTGGCCTCGTATCTTTTTCTTGTCCCCTCAGCTCTGTTCCTGACCTAACTCTTCAGACCTTCTATCAGAGTGAGGGGTCAAGAAGCCAACATCCTTCTGTAGGCTATACTGGCTGCTCTGTCTCATAACTTTCTTCAGTATCTGATATTTGTCCCCTTAGGATCTTGGGCAAACCTTTCACTGAAATTCTATT